ATAGTCTTAAAGAGAGAAAAAATAAGTCTGATAAAAGTTTCTTTGAAACTAATAAGATTAGATATTTCATATATAATTTCCCATCATACACTTAGGGTAAACGTCTCAAAGAAAAAAAATTTGCCCCATAAGAGTTTGTTTACTCGAAACCAACAAGATTAGAGTTTCATTGAAACTAATAATAAGACTAGATATTTCATATAGTTCCCTGTCATACCCTTGATTGATGTAAGGGTCCCAAAGAAGAATAAATTGTCCGAGAAACTAACAAGACTAGAAACTTCATATAATTTTTTTAATAGTAGAAACCAGCTCCAACTCAAAATATGTATAAAAAGAAATTCAGATTCTCCTTATTATCACTTTCATTTTGATTTCAAGCTCAAAAATATCTGCAAGGAAAGGAGAGGCCAAGCAGCGGTCCACACCTTGGGAGACTGTTTGGTATTTCTTTGGAAAATGGTCATCTATCGCATTCCCTTCTTCCTTCTTCTAGTAGTCTTCGCCGGAAATTGTGGTGCCGGCAAAGATTATGAGTGCAAGGTGACAAGATGCAGCGAATTCGGACCTGACATCCGGTTCCCCTTCCGGATAAAAGACCGTCAGCCAGCTCACTGTGGCTATGGCCCTGCCTTTGACCTCTCTTGCACACAAAACAATGATACTGTGTTTGATCAGGACTTCCAATTTCCACTGAGAGCAACGACCAAGAGAATTCTGCTTCCATTATCACTCAAGGTTTTGGTCACGGATATCCACTATGAATCTCAGGGGATGAGTATCAATGTCGTGAATGCAAGTTGTCTCCCACGGTGGCTTCCAATTCCAACCCTGTATAATAATAGTTCATCTTCTGCCGGCTCTCCTTTCACGTTTGACTTCCTAGCCCCCGCATACGACTATACACTATTCAGTTGTCCCTCAAACAAAAGGCCCTCAACATACCGTATATTTCAGGTCACCTGCCCTAGTGGTGGTCCTGGTCACCAAGTGTATGCCGCTCCTTCGGGGTTGTCCATGTATGAATTAGTAACGGACCTAACATCCTGCACCAAGATGTATAACATTTCAGACGTTCCACGAGAAGTACTTTTGGGGGATGATATTGAATCAGACCTTCACTCTGTTGTAGCTTTTCTGGGATGGTCCAAACCTTTTTGTGGAAATTGTGAAGCAGAAAATAAGTACTGCCAATTGAAGAAAAACAGCACAATCCAAGATCAAACTGAATGCCTCGACATTCTTATAACTCAACTCAGCTCTGGTACTACTGATCATGAGCCATATATAGGTACCCCTGACTAGTTTTCCAAGTCGTCGTATTCAATCAAGTCCCTCACATCATATATATCTCTTCTTTGAATTTACAATTCTTTTGTCCTTTTCAGGTGCATCCTCACATTCGCATAAACAAGTTGTTGCAGGTGAATATATAGGTATACACTATTTTTTTTGTATCGTTATCTGTATCAAGGAATTATATGAGAATGGTTTATAATTTGTTAAGTATGCTTTTTGTTGCAGGTATCATCGCTGGTGTGTTCCTTCTTGTGCTAGTCGTTGTTTCACTGTGTCTTGTTATCAGGTCAAATATAAGAAAGAAAGAGAATCAAGTGAAGATTGAAAATTTTTTGGAGGATTACAAAGCTCTTAAGCCGGCAAGATACTCTTATGCTGATATAAAGAAGATTACGCACCAATTTAAGGATAAACTGGGCCAAGGAGGTTATGGAACCGTGTTCAAAGGAAAGCTTTCAAATGATATACTCGTTGCAGTCAAGGTTCTTAAGAGTGTCAAAGGAAATGGAGAAGAGTTCATCAATGAAGTGGGCACAATAGGCAGAATACACCATGTCAATGTGGTTCGCCTTGTTGGATACTGTGCTGATGGATTTAGAAGGGCTCTTGTTTACGAGTTTTTACCGAATGATTCCCTGGAAAAGTTTATACCAATGGAAAATCAAAAACGTGTCCTCGGGTGGGATATGCTGCAGAAAATTGCTCTGGGGATAGCCAAAGGAATTGAGTATCTTCACCAAGGGTGCGACAAAAGAATCCTTCATTTTGATATTAAGCCTCATAACATCTTGTTGGACCACAACTTTAATCCGAAGATCTCTGATTTTGGTCTGGCAAAGATGTGTTCCAAGGATCAAAGCATTGTGTCCATGACTACTACTAGAGGCACCATTGGTTATATTGCACCAGAAGTGTTCTCAAGGAATTTCGGAAATGTGTCATATAAATCAGATGTCTATAGTTTTGGAATGTTGTTGCTTGAAATGGTCGGAGTGAAGAAGAAAGTTGATGTCGGAGCATCAGACACCAGTGAATCCTACTTCCCAGAGTGGATTTACAATAGTTTGGATCAAGAGAAAGAATTGGAAATCCAAGTTGAGGAAGAAGATGATACAAAGAGAGCAAGGAAATTGACAATTGTGGGACTTTGGTGCGTTCAGTGGCACCCAGTAGACCGGCCTGCAATGAAAACTGTGATTCAAATGCTAGAAGGAGAAGACAATTTGAGCTTGCCACCAAATCCTTTTGGCTCTACAAATCCAATGAATACGGGTGCAACCATGTTTTCAAGAACATTTAACAGCGAGCTTGAAACCATTTCGGAATTGGAGTGAGAAATATTGTTAGTGTTTTAGTAGTGCAATAATGCTGCTAGTACTGTAAGTCATCTGACAACATGGGATGTTTGAATTTGGATCCTCTTAACTATAATTTCTCTTGATTTTTTTCGATTTTGGTCTACTTACTAATACCTGATTGGTGATCTACTATTGAAAAAACTGAGAGAGGTATATCATATGATTTTTTAATCAAGAGAAGTTATGCTTATCCGTAGATGCAGATTATTGTTCTATTTTGTTATGCAGTCACCCAAGACTAAATAATTAAAACGGGGTTATTCCATATTAAGCATAGAGGGCTTTGATTTTTCTTTGTACCCAAAAGTCTGGGGAAAGTAATCAATCTATGGAGTCACTAGACCCCATTAAGGGCAAGTTGATTGTTTGTTTAAAGATTCCTAATAGTGGGCCACTATTTTTTGACGAGGCATTGTAGACTTGATTTTTTGGGGTTGCCAATGGTGGTTTGTGGCTGAAATGTTGGTTGTTGTTGGTCACTATCATAGGCTATATATATGCTAGCTTTAACGCATGTTTCTTAGCCGTGTGGGTCACATAGCATTATTAAGATAGAAAATAATTCTGAATATGACTATCAATCAACACTATGTGTGTAATCTTTAACAAGTTCATGTTATAAACAAGTTGACATGCTAAATTCACTTGACAAATTAACGGATCAATTATAACTTGATTAAACACAACTAAATTTTATACACGATAATAAATAAATTCAATATAAATTAAATAAATTTTGATACAGTACTTGATACATAATTCAAAAATGCACACTAGCACAATTCATTAACAATTAGAATCAAAATCAAGGAATATTCATCGTTGGTACTGATACCTACAGTACAATTTTAGTTTAGAATTCACTGCTATCCTACAATAGATTTCATATGACCATGAAATTGTTAAGTGTGATGGAAATAAAGTCTAATTTGTAAAAAAAAAAAAAAGGGAAAGAAGGATCCACGATGTACTATGCAATCTAATAAAATAATTTGATAATCTGCAAAATTCTATGTTATGCCTCATGAGAATATAAAATTTTAAATCAAAATTAAGTAGCAGCAATATCTCACTCAACTTTGGTTAATTCCTCTAATGATATTTCACTATTTGCATGTTTCAGGAAAAAAAAAATCATTTTTCTGTATGCTTAAACAGTCCCAAATTTTAATGCAGTACAAAAGCCTAGAGTGCATCGTACTTTGAAGGGTCTGTTTGGTATATGGGTTTGGATAGGATTTAAGAGGTGAATTTTATAAAAATAAATCCAATACACCTTCTAAACTAGTATTTGGTTGAAATTTTGAGACTCAGGATTCTAAATAAGTCCTTCTTAGCCCGTAAAGAATAATTGATTAAAACCCACAAATGGAGCCATGGAGTTTAATGAAGCCTATGGAAATTGGGTTTCAAAATGAAAGATTTGATTTAATAACAAAAAGACTACTTTACACAAAAATTTATTATTTTATTCCCATAATAATGAACATTTTAGTAAATTGAGTAATATGATTTGATATAAATTAATGAATCCTACGTCTATTTAATAAAATACATAACAACTTAAATTTTTATCCCTTACATATTTTTTTTTCCTAACAACATCACATCACTCATTTCTATTACATGTTCAATAATTCAATATTTGATTAATTTGTAGTTTAACATAATTTTTATTTTAAACATTATTCATATACAATAGTATATACATGTTAAAAAAAAATTAATATAATGGGATCGATTTTTATATTTCATCGTACTTTCAAACACGGTTATGACTTATGACTAATATATTTAGAAACACCTTACCAAACATAGAATTTGATTGAATTTTTTTGAATCCGATGTGTAAATCCTTTGGGCTGGGTTTGGAAACGTTCCATAAATCCAGTCCAAAACCCCCCAAATTAAACATCCAAACATGCTATAAATTTAAGTTTGTTAATCTTTATAAATATGTGACCGAATCATTTGTTACTTCGATTTAGTTTGAGCTTAGAAATATAATCAAATTTGATTTATTGTGCAATTTTATTTTTTTAATCAAAATTTATTGTGCAATTTTATTTACTGAAATGTCCATCATTGTACAGTCGATGTGAGCTTTGTTTCCTTTGCATCTCTGAATAATTTCCAAAATCAAGGACATTCGTTTGTGTTGATAAAGTTCATATATAATAAGGTCTCTTCGGACCCTCAAACAAAAACTATACTATAGAAATGGATTTCAGAAAGTGTTGAATCAGCCCAGAATAAGATATCTCGCAATTACCCAAAATAAAATTTGACTGACCTCATAGCTTCACTCCATTCCTAAATCAACGGCTGTGAATTGACCGAATCTCAGAAATCAGAGCACCCACCGTTTCGTTCCCAATCGCCGAAGCGAGTAGGTTCGGGACCTCTGGGACCTCCGATCTCACCTGTCTCTTTATTCACTTGAACGCCATCACTGTCCTCATCCTCATCCTCATCTTCAGCATCGCCATTGCGAGCACCATCGTCTTCACTTTCGACCTTCTCTGAGTTTTCCGACACCTCACCTTCTGGTTCCTTGGGTTTTCTTGATGAGATTGTTTTCGCTGCGTCGAAGAGCAAGAAGTCGAATCGCTGAGGTCGAGGGTTCGGATCTGCCGAAGGATAGAGATAACTTTGGAGGCTTGGAAAGCTCGATTGCTGATGGAATAGACGGCCCAGATTGCTCGCCGCCGCTAGAAGAGAACTCTCCCTCGGTCCACAGAGGGAGACCGGCGGCGCCTGAGCTTTAGGCAGATGAGGCGGTGGGACTCGTCCTTTTCGGTAACGGTGTCGTTTTGGTTGTGGGCCTTGTGGCCCAAACACACACCGTACACTAATCAAATTGGCAATTACAAGGGCCAATTTCTTTGTTTTTAGGCTTAACAAATCTGGCTGTCGGAATTGGGTTTCATTAACTATCCAGCGTCTCAGAGAAACTTGCCATTGATCAAAATTCTAAATTGCTTTAAGGCCAAGTAATTGAAAATCCTATACATTAATCGATTGGTTCAGTAACGAAAATGCACTCCAACTATACATATAAAACTTCATGTGGTTTTTCAATATCTTTGTAAATCTTGCATGCTAGTTTGACTCACGCTAGTCTGTATTAGTTTGTGTGAGGCGTCTGTAACTTTGACCTAAATTTTTACTCAAAATATTTTATACAAAAATTGATTTTATACAAAACATTCCGATGAACAAGAAATAGTGAAATTTTAACATTAAAAATTTAAATTTCTCTTGATTTAATATGAGTATAAATAAAGAATTAAAGTTTATTTTTATCTTATTTTTACTCAAATTTGTATTTGAGGCAAGATCTGATTAATGATTAGAAATGCTCTTACAGTCACCAACTCAAAAGAACTTAAAATTGGAATAATTCTCAATTGCCCCAAAGAAAATCCACATAAATTAATT